CCCCACACACACACACACTCACCGAAGGCGGCCAGCCCCCCCCCACACACACACACACACTCACCGAAGGCGGCCAGCTCGGGCTCCTTCTTCCACTTGCCCAGCGAGGCGGGCGGGTTGGGCCAGGTCACCGTCGTGTGCAGCAGCAGGTCCCCCATGCTCAGGTCGGCCACCTGCGGACCAGACATGTCAGCTCGCCGGGCAGAGCCGCAGACACGCGACTGGCACGCCTACTTCACGGGAGCACTGTCTCCAACACGCGTGCTCGTTTCCCTCTACCCACGTGTCCCCAGAGCTTCAACAATAAAGCGGCAAAAAGGTGCCAATCGGCCCTAAGATTCCCCAGCAGCAGACCTGCTGAGAGGGCCCCGCAGCACGGAGACCAGCCTGGCCGTGCGGCCCAGTGGTTGTGTCGACCGTGAACCCAGGAGCTGCACCGAGGATTCTAAGTCCCCTCGGCACACAGCGTCCGGCCGTCCTCCCTGCGGCTTTACAGGAAAACGGGGACCCGCCTCCTCTCCATCCGGCGGTGAGATCAGCTGCGGCTGCTCTGTGGAGCCCAGCCCTCCCCCTCCCCCTCCCCTCTGAGGACCCGAGATGGAGGGAGCTCGCCGGCCCCGCTTCCTGCTGGAGCCCCTGCCTGCTCCCACCCGCTGGCCCCGGGGGTGTCTTTCCTCTTCGCCTGGGGGGGGGGGCCTGAGCGTCATCACGTTGGTCTGTGGCATCGTTCGCAGCCTCGTGCGCGGGGCTCTGCGCCCCTGAGGCTGAGGGAGACCCCACTCTGCACACACGTCTCCTGGCTCCTCGCCGGGAGGATTTCCCACTCCATCGTCTGAATTCTTCCCTGTGACCTCCGACCCCCGAATCATATTCATCTTTTCCCAAATTCTCTGCAACCCACTATCCACTGCCTTCTAGTCTTCGGTATGAATGGCCCTTTGCTCTCAGCATCGTTAAAACCCAGAAATTAACCTGGCGTATCATGAAAGATGTAACAAAACATAATTAAAAAATCTTTTTTCCCACAACCCAATAAAATTCACTTCTGTCAAAACGAAATAATCAGCAATGCAGAGCAGGGAAGAGTCACAGGATCGAAAATGTCTGCAGAAGCAGTCACAGCACGAAATAAACGAGGCCAAGAAAACCCCCCAACGACAGGACTTCGGGGAATCACGGCTCATCCCCACGGAAATACTACACAATAACTTAAATAATTCTTGGGAATCATTTGGAAGAACATGAACATTTTGTTCAATATAAAGTATCACCATGCAAGACCCTTTCAGAATATAATTATTCAAGAACCCTTTCGGAATATAATTATTCAAGGACACGTTTATAGGTTTTCATCAAAATAAACACCGAACATTGAGAACGTGTGTTGTTCTTCATGAGGACAAAACCCAGAGCAACTAACCCCTCTCTCCTCCGCCCGGTGGAGAGGACCCGCCGTGCAGACGGAGGCGGTCCCCACGCTCTCCTGCCAGCATCACGTGGAGAAGCTACGCGGTGTCTCCTGGAGAGGAGGGACGGAAGCCAGCACACGCCGGGCCCCGACGTCCTCCTGCTGTCCCCCCGCGGGGCCCGTACCTCCTCAGTGTGGCCGGGGCAGGGGCGGGAGGAGAGTCCTGTCCAGGCTGCTGGCGGCCTCACTGACCCACCCACAGGGAAAACCCGCGTGTCCCACAAACCACCGCCACACGCCTTCACTCCACATCTACACCACGCGTGTGACTTTCAATAAACTCTCACCCACCTGCCTCCCCCACATCCATGACTCTCACCCACCTGCCTCCCCCACATCCATGACTGTCACCCACCTGCCTCATGCACACACGTCTCCTGGCTCCTCGCCGGGAGGATTTCCCACTCCATCGTCTGAATTCTTCCCTGTGACCTCCGACCCCCGAATCATATTCATCTTTTCCCAAATTCTCTGCAACCCACTATCCACTGCCTTCTAGTCTTCGGTATGAATGGCCCTTTGCTCTCAGCATCGTTAAAACCCAGAAATTAACCTGGCGTATCATGAAAGATGTAACAAAACATAATTAAAAAATCTTTTTTCCCACAACCGGCCCACGAGGCTCCTTCGAACGGAACGGCACCGCGTCTCCTGGCTCCTCGGGAGGATTTCCCACTCGATCGTCCGAATTCCTCCCTGTGACCTCCGACCCCCGAATCGTATTCATCTTTTCCCAAATTCTCTGCAACCCACTATCCACTGCCTTCTAGTCTTCGGGATGAATGGCCCTTTGCTCTCAGGATCGTTAAAACCCAGAAATTAACCTGGCGTATCATGAAAAATGTAACAAAATATAATAAAAAAATCTTTTTTCCCATAACCCAATAAAATTCACTTCTGTCAAAACGAAATAATCAGCAATGCAGAGCAGGGAAGAGTCACAGGATCGAAAATGTCTGCAGAAGCAGTCACAGCACGAAATAAACGAGGCCAAGAAAACCCCCCCAACGACAGGACTTCGGGGAATCACGGCTCATCCCCACGGAAATGCTACACAATAACTTAAATAATTCTTGGGAATCATTTGGAAGAACATGAACATTTTGTTCAATATAAAGTATCACCATGCAAGACCCTTTCAGAATATAATTATTCAAGGACACGTTTATAGGTTTTCACCAAAATAAACACCGAACATTGAGAACGTGCGTTGTTCTTCTCGCCTTTTTCTGTATTTCGCCTTTTTCTTTAATGAGCGGATGTCTTTCTCATTATAGAAGTTTTACAAGGACATGAGCACGAAACCCAGAGCAGCTAACCCAGGGGTGGGCAAACTTTTTGACTCGAGGGCCACAATGGGTTCTTAAACTGGACCGGAGGGCCGGAACAAAAGCATGGATGGAGTGTTTGTGTGAACTAATATAAATTCAAAGTAAACATCTACACTAAAAAGGGTACGGTCTTTTTTTTTTAGTTTTATTCATTTCAAAAGGGCCGGATCCTTGCCCACGGCTGCTCTAGAGTGATGCTTTCTTAATGCAAATAACTCACCTGCATTGGCTTTAAGGTCTTCAGGTGTGTCACACACGAGTAAATTCCATCATGTGTGGTCGCTTCTACACGCACATGGAACGTCCTGACTTTACCTCTTTCTGATACTGACCGGTCAGAGGTCCCACCCTCGCCTCCGGGGGACAATGACCCTGGAGAACAGCCCTACCCCTCGCGGAGGAGGCTGCTCTGCGTGCAGACTAACCAGGGCTCTGCCCCTGCTCTCAGCCCCCAATCTCCCCCGAGTTCCCTCCCTCCCACCCCCATGAGGCAGCAAGCAAGCCCAGGACGACTGACGCTGGGGTGACGGGGGAGGGGCACTGGCGCACAGTGGGACTGCCTGTCCCCTGCCTCCATCAGCTGCTCTCAGGGCAGGCACAGCCCAGGGCTCCCCCCAGCCCCTCCAGGAGGGTCTGTCCTGCCCCTTCCTCCCAGGCAGGGGTGCAGGTTTGCAAGCCCTTAAGCATGGTTTCAGGTCATCCTTCCACAGCTACTCGCTGAGCACCTGCTCCGAGCGTCAAGGTTCCAACCCCAGGAGGCAGCTGCCGCCCCCGGGACTTTCAGAGCGGCCAGGCCCGAGGGCAGCAGTCACCCCCACACGCCACACCCCAGCCCGCGGGCCAGCCAGCGGGGAGTCCACACCGTCCTTTCCTAAAAAACCCTCGCTGAGGAAGAAGCCACACTGCAGCTGGGCCGAGGGCAGAATCCACCGAGACACCAATCCCGCCCGTCCCGGCTATTTCACGGCCAACAGCCCTGCGAGGGGACAGGGGCCCCGAAGCCAGTCCTACCTCCTTCTTCTCGCCCGTCTGCTCCGCGATCAGCTGGTCAAACACGGCCCCGAACTCTTCGTGGATCTTCTGCATCTCGTTGATGTGACTGGCCACCTTGTTCATGGTCTTGATGGCCACTGGGGGTGACAGGGCGGCGATGAAGAGGCAGCACAGGGGCTGGGCTGGGAGCGGGGTGCAGGTTTGCAAGCCCTTAAGCATGGTTTCAGGTCCTCCTTCCACAGCTACTCGCTCAGAGGGCCAAGGTTCCAACCCCAGGAGGCAGCTGCCGCCCCCGGGACTTTTAGAGCGGCCAGGCCCCGAGGGCAGCAGTCACCCCCACAGGTCACACCCCAGCCCGCGGGGAGTCCACACCGTCCTTTCCTAAGAAACCCTCGCTGAGGAAGAAGCCACACCGCAGCCGGGCCGAGGGCAGAATACACCGCGACACCAATCCTGCCCGTCCCGGCTTTTTCACGGCCAACAGCCCTGCGTGGGGACAGGGGCCCTGAAGCCGGTCCTACCTCCTTCTTCTCGCCCGTCTGCTCCGCGATCAGCTGGTCAAACACGGCCCCGAACTCTTCGTGGATCTTCTGCATCTCGTTGATGTGACTGGCCACCTTGTTCATGGTCTTGATGGCCACTGGGGGTGACAGGGCGGCGATGAAGAGGCAGCACAGGGGCTGGGCTGGGAGCGGGGCGACGGCAGGGGTGGGAGGTGGGGGGCTTTGCTTGCAGGTAGAGGGGGGTGGTGTCATCCATGACTCTCACCCACCTGCCTCCCCCACATCCATGGCTGTCACCCACCTGCCTCCCCCACATCCATGACTCTCACCCACCTGCCTCCCCCACATCCATGACTCTCACACACGAGTAAATTCCATCATGTGTGGTCGCTTCTACACGCACATGGAACGTCCTGACTTTACCTCTTTCTGATACTGACCGGTCAGAGGTCCCACCCTCGCCTCCGGGGGACAATGACCCTGGAGAACAGCCCTACCCCTCGCGGAGGAGGCTGCTCTGCGTGCAGACTAACCAGGGCTCTGCCCCTGCTCTCAGCCCCCAATCTCCCCCGAGTTCCCTCCCTCCCACCCCCATGAGGCAGCAAGCCCAGGATGACTGACGATGGGGTGACGGGGGAGGGGCACTGGCGCACAGTGGGACTGCCTGTCCCCTGCCTCCATCAGCTGCTCTCAGGGCAGGCACAGCCCAGGGCTCCCCCCAGCCCCTCCAGGAGGGTCTGTCCTGCCCCTTCCTCCCAGGCAGGGGTGCAGGTTTGCAAGCCCTTAAGCATGGTTTCAGGTCCTCCTTCCACAGCTACTCGCTCAGAGGGCCAAGGTTCCAACCCCAGGAGGCAGCTGCCGCCCCCGGGACTTTTAGAGCGGCCAGGCCCCGAGGGCAGCAGTCACCCCCACAGGTCACACCCCAGCCCGCGGGGAGTCCACACCGTCCTTTCCTAAGAAACCCTCGCTGAGGAAGAAGCCACACCGCAGCCGGGCCGAGGGCAGAATACACCGCGACACCAATCCTGCCCGTCCCGGCTTTTTCACGGCCAACAGCCCTGCGTGGGGACAGGGGCCCTGAAGCCGGTCCTACCTCCTTCTTCTCGCCCGTCTGCTCCGCGATCAGCTGGTCAAACACGGCCCCGAACTCTTCGTGGATCTTCTGCATCTCGTTGATGTGACTGGCCACCTTGTTCATGGTCTTGATGGCCACTGGGGGCGACAGGGCAGCGATGAAGAGGCAGCACAGGGGCTGGGCTGGGAGCGGGGCGACGGCAGGGGTGGGAGGTGGGGGGCTTTGCTTGCAGGTAGAGGGGGGTGGTGTAATGCGTCAGCGCGAAGAGCTCCCGCAGCAGCAGCGGGTACTTGAGGACGCGCTGGATGGGCTTGATGAGGTACGACTCGAGCGTGGCCGAGTGCTGCTGCCGGGGGTTCTGGGCGTCCAGGAAGGCCTTGAAGGCCGCGTCCGTCCTGGCTGCGAGGCACACAGCTCGTGGGGGGCCCCCGGACCTCCTCCCGTCCCTGCCCCCCTCCCCAGTGCCTTTCCCAGGACAGGGCGGGGCCGGAGGAGGGCAGGAGCGGAGACAGCCAGCCCAGCCCGGCACGTCGGCTCATGTGGGGCAGACCCCGGGGTGTGAGTGAGTCCGGGGAGCCAGCGGGCAAACCCTGCGCACTGGGCCTCCGGCTGCTCTCCTCCCTCCTGGTCCTCAGCCCCCACATAAGGCCCGGCACTGAGCCGTCACCTGCGAGGAGGCGGGTCCTCGCGGTGAGTGCCCCGTGGTCACTCCGTCCCCCAGCAGACGGTACTCTTGTCCTCACGCTCTTCCCTCTACCCGCCCCCCAACACACACACACACACACACACACACACACACACACACACACACACACGTGGCCGTCAGGAAATGTAGGTCAAGCCTAATGGTTTCAGGGATCGTTTGAAAGATTACGATAATATCTTTCAGGTGCAAAAGAATAGACTGAATTAAGACAATCTACAGGGGCCGAGTGTAATCTAACAGAAGGTTTAAAAATAACACAGAACGCTCTGAGGGCGATACTGTTTACTGTGGAGCACGGAGCTCGGAAACTCTCACAGTGACACCTCACAACAGCCAGCGCTCAGGTGAAGTGTGAAAACTGACACACAGCCCGCGGCGTGGCTCAGTGCCTGAGCGTCAACCTATGAACCAGGAGGTCAGGGTTCGATTCCCGGTCGGGGCACAGGCCCGGGTTGCGGGCTCCATCCCCAGTAGGGGGTGTGCAGGAGGCAGCGATCCATGATTCTCTCTCATCATTGATGTTTCTATCTCTCTCTCTCCCTTCCTCTCTGACATCAATAAAAATATATTTCTAAAAAAAAAGAAGGGACACACACACAGGACTGTATGCCCGACAGCGCGCGTGGGGACGGACAGCCAGACGGGGTCCCAGCCTCCCTCTAATTCCCGCTGCACCTGACTCTGCACAGACTCACTGCAGAGACCCCCCTGGTGCCAACATGTCCCGTGACAGGTGTTAAACGAAGTCAAAGCACAACGTGCACAAACCGTTTACACACCAGCAGCTGTGCATGTGCAGCCACGTGAGGTGTGGGGTGAGGTGTGGGGTGAAGTGTGGGGTGAGGTGCGGGGTGAGGTGTGGGGTGGGATATGGGGTGAGGTGTGGGGTGAGGTGCGGGGGGGGATATGGGGTGAGCTGCGGGGTGAGGTGCGGGGTGAGGTGTGGGGAGGTGTGGGGACATGTGGGGGAAGGTGCGGAGTGAGGTGTGAGGACAGCGGCTGGTGTCCCGAGATCCCCTGAAATCCAACCTCCTGTTGGTTACAGTGTTGACCAAGAAAGCGCCTCCCTGACCCTTTTCTCTGTCACCAGCCACCACAGGTGAAGGTGGCAGCAAACCGCCTTGTGGGGACCCTCAGATGCCCCGCCTCCCGGGCCGCTGGGGGTCGGGGGGGTGGAGCCTGCTGCTGTGAAAACCCCACTCAGTTCTGTGCAAACAGCTGCAGCCGGAGCGGTTTCTGGGAGTCACTGGGACCACATGCCCATGACGGACAGGCGTGAGCACAGCCCTCGGAGCAGAAGGTGAGGGCAGGAGGAAGGCCCACAGAAAGGCAGGTGCGATGGGGCGGGTGACAATGAAATCGACGGAGAACAGGAATAAAGTGGGGGAATTTCTAAACCCTGTATTTCCTGCATAACTGCAAAGTGACCCCTCAATTCTGGACCAAAATAGCTCAGACAGAACGTGCGTTATCAGGAGAGCGACACACGGCTAACTCAGCTCCGCAGGCCTCTCCTCTCTCAGAGCCTCGTCCGCGGCTGTCGGACGTCGGCTGCCACATCGACGACCCTTCGCTCTCGGTCCGAACGCTCCCACCATGGCCCTGGCCCCGGGGGCACCGCCCTCGCGGCCTTACCTTTCACCAGGACCTTGGGCACCTTGGTGTGGCTGGCGCAGAAGGCGCTGTACAGCTTGAAGCGGTCGGCGTAGTACAGGAAGGAGCCCCCCAGCGAGAACAGCACTTTCTGGGTTTAAGGAGAAAAGGCCTGGCTGGTTCAGGCCGCGCTCACCTGGGAATATCCGCAGGCTCTCGGGGCGCCCCCGCCGGCCTAAAAAAGTGGCTGGTGTCCCGAGATCCCCCTGAAATCCAACCTCCTGTTGGTTACAGTGTTGACCAAGAAAGCGCCTCCCTGACCCTTTTCTCTGTCACCAGCCACCACAGGTGAAGGTGGCAGCAAACCGCCTTGTGGGGACCCTCAGATGCCCCGCCTCCCGGGCCGCTGGGGGGTGGAGGGGTGGAGCCTGCTGCTGTGAAAACCCCACTCAGTTCTGTGCAAACAGCTGCAGCCGGAGCGGTTTCTGGGAGTCACTGGGACCACATGCCCATGACGGACAGGCGTGAGCACAGCCCTCGGAGCAGAAGGTGAGGGCAGGAGGAAGGCCCACAGAAAGGCAGGTGTCGGGGGGGTGGAGCCTGCTGCTGTGAAAACCCCACTCGGTTCTGTGCAAACAGCTGCAGCCGGAGCGGTTTCCAGGAGTCACTGGGACCACATGCCCGTGAAGGACAGGCGTGAGCACAGCCCTGGAGCAGAAGCAGGTGAGGGCAGGAGGAAGGCCCACAGAAAGGCAGGTGCGATGGGGCGGGTGACAATGAAATCGACGGAGAACAGGAATAAAGTGGGGGAATTTCTAAACCCTGTATTTCCTGCATAACTGCAAAGTGACCCCTCAATTCTGGACCAAAATAGCTCAGACAGAACGTGCGTTATCAGGAGAGCGACACACGGCTAACTCAGCTCCGCAGGCCTCTCCTCTCTCAGAGCCTCGTCCGCGGCTGACGGACGTCGGCTGCCACATCAACGACCCTTCGCTCTCGGTCCGAACGCTCCCACCACGGCCCTGGCCCCCGGGGCCCCGCCCTCGCGGCCTTACCTTTCACCAGGACCTTGGGCCCTTGGAGAGGTAATAGGTGGGATGGGGGCTATGGGTGGGGTCATGGGCCGAGTTGGTGGTCATAGGCGGGGTCACCAGCCAAGGGCGGGTTTGTAGCTGTGGGCAGAGCTGTAGGCCGTGGGCGGGGCTGTAGGCAGGGCACTGGCTGTGGGCGGGCCCATGGGTGGGGGTTCTGGTTGTGGGCGGGGCACTG